TTTGCGGGCTTTCCAGTGCACAATGCCAGCACTAGTGTGAGAGCGGTCAACGACGCCGCCCCTGCTGTTCGGGGCAGCGAACCCAAAAATGGAGCGACGTCGCAGCGTTCGCCTCGCCGCTTGCGCGACGAAGCCGAACACCGTCGCAGCGTCCGGCTCGCCGCCCGCGCGAGGGGGCCGACCCGCGACGAAGCCGAACGCCGTTGCGGCGTCCGGTGCGCCGCTTGCGCGACGAAGCCAAGCACGTCGCGCGCGCTCGCCGCGCGCGAGCACAGGGAGGTGATCCCCGGGGTGCCGCCCCATCCGACGTGTGGCGACAACCGCTCGCGTTGTGTCCTCCACCTTCTACATAAACGGCGCATAGTACTCTGCGCGGGCCTGCTCGACGCATTCTCTCTTCGTTGAGAGGGTGCAGAGAAGACGAGAAAATCGATGACACGTGAGAATGCGCGCCCCAGTGCAACGTCGAGAAGGTTACGGTATACACCCTATGTTCCTGAACTTATAATCTTGTAAGTGCTTAAAGAAAGCGATACGGTAAAAGAGGGAATGCGCCTGGGAAGTATATGCGCCACACGAAGCGGTAAGCTTTGGCTGGCCAAATGAATGCGATACGTGTTTAGAGTGCCACAACGCATTGAGAGATCTCTATATTGGTGGGGATGTGCCTCCTGGAACCTTCGTGCCAAAATGCGATGTTATTCTGGGTATGAGGTTAATCCATTGTTTACTAATTCTAACTGATTTTTTATTGTTTTGGATAAGGTCTTTAATACTACCATTTTTTTCGTACTTTCGTTCGCTAACGCTCGGAATGATTTCAGATTAGATTATGCTATGATTATCAGAAGAAGATTACGCATAGTAGCTTCTCAGAAACTTTTTATCAGTCTTTTTTCAGGTGATTACGAAGAATTGCAATGTGACGCGAGGCAGGAGTTCTGTTACTGTGTAGATACCAAAACCGGTAAAGAAATAGCGAATACGCGCAAGAGAAAGGAAGGAAACAAATACATCACTTGCGGAAAGCAACAGTGAGTAAACTACCGAATGATATAAAGGGCGAAAAAGAAAAGAAAGAGGAGACAAGTGGGTAACCATTACCTCCTAGTAAGCCATGGTAAGTATCCACTGGAGCAAAGTTATAGGCACAGGTCGGTGTCGAGTTGATGTGTTATTTTGCTTAATAACTAGAAAAATACACTGTGGAAAGATATTGGGGAAAAAAGGCAAAAAAGCATCATAGAAAACACTGTTGATAAGTGAGACACTCTCAACCGTTGTGTGCTGATTGCTTTTCCGCGTTCTGGTTGGTAAATCTCACTACACTAGGGTTTAGTACTTGACAGCAATGATATTGAAGCGTAAACTACAGAACAGTCGACATAACCAATCCCTCAACACAATCATAATCCCTGCACGGGAATGCGCTATGCATTCTGCTTTGATTCCTGATTGCATTGGCATGTGATTTGGCTCACAGAATGTCGATGGGGTCGGGCAGTTGTAAAGAAGTGTTTTGTTCTCTCGAGGGGGTCCAGCAGAAGTAAAAGAAGCGGGAATCGTTGAATAACCTGAGCGAACAGGGTTTTGAACCATGCCATCGGAAATTAATAATTGGCACTACTTGCCCCCAGAACACCTCCGCAAAGTGGTGATCATAATGAAAGGGTGTCCGACCACAAGTAAGCATAGAGTCGATAGATATTGTTTCAGACATCTCGACAACCTTTTCGCAACTTCCCATCACTGAGGGATCGCCACTTTTCCAAGGAGCGTTATCCGGTTGCAAGAGAAACGTGCAAACTGGACAGAAGTAAAGGTTGGGCTTGTCAAGATCAAAAGCCCTCAGTACGGGTTAGTGACCGTTTTTTTTGATTTTCTCGGTCTGACTATGCTGGAACCTTGAGCTAATATGTATGATGCATAACTTGTACTTTTCTGGACAACAATATGAAAGTGACATCAACATCAGTAGCTTCTTCCGCAACGCACACCGGAACTGTTCACTTCACTACAGCGAGTGTGCCATAGACAGTGCTTGCCCTGACTCTTCTCTATTTATTTCGCCTTATATTACCTGAGCCCAAAAAAAAGATGAGGATTTAACGCTAAATTGACGAAACGTAGCAATATTCAGTACATTTAGTCAAGAAATGCTTGTGTAGTGGGAGGGATAAAAATTCCCGGCTTAACAGTAAACATGTACAGCTTGGTTTCAGTGTTTCCTTCTGCCAACGAGGTTTTTAGATGACAACTTTATTTACGACTTTACTTTTGACCCGATCGTCTTCCTCAAAGGCCAGGCTGCTACCGTAGGTGCGAAACAAAAAAATGTATACGGAGTTTTGAAAACCTCGTTGGCAGAAGAAAACACTAAACTCAGCCACGATGCCGAGGTTGTGTGAAAAGAGAACCTGGATATTGTATCTTCGTTTTTCTCGCCATTCCTTCGTTTCTGAGAAGAAATTGTAGCGATTACAGTACTATTTCGACTATCGCACATTCGCGTGCCTGGCATTCGAGTATCTCGGCTGTGGTGGGAATGAGAACAATTATCCGACTTCTTCGGCTTGTAGTTCGGATTGTAAGCTCGGTACGACATCTTTTACTCCTACCTCCCGGCAGTTATTCGTCGTCTTCTTTTTTCTGTTCAGTATTTATCAACAATCTTGCTCTATTCGTCGACATTTTAGCGGATCTCTCTGGTTGCTCCGGTATGTATCCACCGGCTCGATACTCGAATGGGCAAGCAATACTCTGTGGTGCTGGTCCTCAAATGATGTTCCATGGTGGTACGTTCTCATTTATCACAAACCTAGATTGTGGTCAGTGATAATGAGCAGGGTGAATAACGGTCGAGGACTTTCTCATGGCTCTGTACTGTGAGAGTAGTGCCGAGAGTGAACATACGCGCGGAGAGCACAGACGGCTCGCGCATGGCGAGTGTGAATGTCCGCGCGAGAGAACGTCTGATCAGGCAAAATCCTCGACGTGCCGTTGAGGAATCCTCGACCGATATTCACCCTGATAACGAGAGCTTCCGCGCCAGATAAGCAGAATAAAAACCGACGACAATGACAACGATGGTGCGTCCTGAGTTTGGGTTTTCCCTACGAATTCTATGCTGAAAATTACTTAAGAATAAATTAATGTTTTTTTGCTTCAAGCTTATGATTGACGAAATCAATTAACAACCTAAACTGAAAAGCAATGCAGTGACAAAGTAATAAGGTATTTATAATGTTTATTTCGAATACTACTGTAACTAACAACCAACTCCCGCTGCCGTTGTGGGAGAGTGCGAATTAACTTTTTGCGGGCCCGCTTGACTCTGAACCTAAATAGCGGTGGGTACTGACTTAAAACGTCGGTACCCAGACGATGAGCCGACGTCAACAGAACAGGATCTTCGGCTCTGACGACAACACAACAAACTTGTGCTGAAACCATGCCATGGTGGTACTCTCAACCGGTTGCTCGCCGGGATGGCTAAATATGAGCCCAAAGGTGTAAAGAGCAGTGGCGCCGTAGAACTAACGGGAAGACTTGTACTAGTTTATCACTCCCTTAGACCTTGGATGGAAGGTGAATAATGGTAGTCACAAATATGGAGATCAGAACAGTTTTGTGGACTTTGGAAGCAAGTTGAGAGCAGTAAATTTCGGCAAGAAATGCGGCCAAAAGTAAGTTGCAGCGCTCAGTGCCGCCTAGGCGATACATAGCCCTGTGTTGAAAGTTAATGGTGTGATCCACCTACTGATCCTTACAGGCATAACTTCGGAGAGATTTAAAGGCTAATGCGGATAGATTAGTCGCTTCATAGAATTACGTTGGATTCCGTGCCAGCATTGATCGCTCACAGCTTGCTTGGAAAGTTCGAGTGGCAGTTTTGATCTTCAAATTCGTAACCGGTTTTCATTAAGGGAACGATATAATTAGGTCTCCATTCAAAATTCCATGGGAGATTGAAAGCCTTACTCGGCTAGTCCACATGTCGCTCACTCAACGCCTCATATTCTGCAGGCGATTGATACATATCCCTTCTACCATACCGCTGAAAGCAATTGTACATTTCGTGACATTTTGTCAGTGAAGGTACAGTACCTTTAGTCAAAGCTACTTCATCAAAAGTATTGGAATATTTCAGTAAGCAGCTGAATTTAGCAAATAGTCAAATTAGTCTCATTGAATCTTTGTCTTAGGCACGACGCCCTCTCCAAAAATCACCCCGAAACTCAATGAAGACGGTTGTCCATTGGACCACAAGTGCGTCATGGGTGCATTTTTCGGATTCTGCTGCAACCGAGCCAACGAAGGTGAGTCAGAAGTTTAGACGAAGGTCTCATGCTACAACAAGCGACCGATGCGAAGGTCAGAAAACTTTTCTAATTTCATCTTCTCAATGTTTTCGTCTAGCTTCATAGTAATATTATAACCCACAAGACAAAATGTTCAGATCGATTCAATGTTGCTTATCATCCGAAATGTAGCAATGGTCGTGAGCCATACTCGGAAGCGATGGATTCGTGGCGGGAGATCCGATTCGGGAAGTCGTGTAAGGATAACTTCTGTCCTTCAGGATATAAGTGCCATGATGCCGACATCTTCGCTTATTGTTGCTGAACCAAATATGTATATATTGGCGAATGATCATCTTCAAGCATCTCAGAAACTTCTATGGAAATGAAAATAATGAATCTCTATAAAACTTTGTGTATCGAAGGTATATTCGAAGGTACGATTTGCTTCAGGGCTGAAATAAAGCCTAACCATAAGTAGTATGAGTAGCGAACCTATCCCTGCTATTGAAGAGACGGTATCACTCCCACCACATGTTCTTCGTTAGTCGCTCATCATTTATCAATTAAAAATATCCTTGAGAGGGTAGTGCAACGTGTGAACACCCTTTAAAAGGTTTTTTTCTCGACTTGGTTCATTCATTCGAGTACTTGTAGCGTTTGAGTAGGAAGAAACTATAAGGCAGATTCCTTTAGTAAACTGTTCCTTCAAACTCCAAGTTCAACTCGCAAATTTTAGCCTGGAAATTTCATCACGACAGTGTTTCTGTATCACCCAACATAATCCTGTGAGACGGTATCAGTTCAGTTAGGATTCTAATGGTTATATTCGAAAACAATGCCAATATGGGCGTATCAGTTTTGTTCCCTTCCCTTTTTCCCTTCCCTGAATACGTTCACGTTTTCCGTTAAGCTGATTTCCATTTGCAAGGCGTACATCCGTGCTGGATACGTGTACATATGTAGTGAAAGGGTGATAGTGGAGGACCCCACCACAATCAGGACATCAAGGTGGAATGAAAACTCAACAGTGACTCGGGCCTTGGATTCTGTGCAATTGGCGTTTCTCTCCCTTTCCCCCTCGCCCCTAAGGTAAGTGCACAACGCTCGGGAGTGTTAAAACTGGTGTTGAGATTCTCAAAACATCGGACTGAAAAGACGCTTGTGCCGTGGAAAACTTTCTGTCCATACCCTTTGACTTGTTTTTAACTACAGTGAATGTTTTCATCAGTTTCGCTCACTTTTGTTTATGGCCGATCAGACTGTCGTCGACGTATTCAGTTCTTACAGTACCTGTTTTTGTTTTTGTTTCACCTATTTTCATTTCGGTTGCATGCAATAAAATATTGATGAGTTTATGCTTGTTTGAAGAGGTTATTTTCGCTATGTTTTTGTTTGGATTCTTGTTTAGCAAGTTTTCGCTACAGCGAGTTGAAGCATCGAATTCTTCAATGTCCTGCCAACATGCAGTTAGGTATTAGGCAATAGCTTCTTCAGAATGAATTTTTACATGGACAATTTACATAAGCGCTCGGGGCAGCAGTATCTGATCACTGAGGAGGAGCCAAAGCCAAATTAGAGATTTTTAGACACACCTTTCCAAAAGATTTGCCCATCATCATTATCAATTTACGTTCGCAGCAACACGTGTTTAGGAACTGTGGAAAAAGCCTCCACATTCTTCCATATAGGCGGTATTTCTGCTGAAAGGGGACAGGCAAAAACGACGTCGCATTTCGGTAATAGAATATTTTTGGGAATTTTAATTCTTTCCTTCAACACATCCTTCTTCTGCGAGTATTTATCATACTCTTACCTCAATGCGAATAAAGCAGCACAAAGAGTAACTTTACCTCTCCGTCCTATAAGATTCTAGAGAGAGCAGGCTTATTAACAGTAACAGCAGCCGTAACTCAAACTTTCTTCAATTACAAAACTTATCCGATTGCTGCAACGTCGGGACTGATTTCCGGGAAAATTGCTCGCCTCTACTGCTGCAGTCGCTGCCTGCGCCGCAATGGGGGGCATTTAATGTGAATCGCTCCTGCCCCTAACAGTACTCCCAGTTTCATAAGGGACAGGAGAATACGAAGAAGGTGATAGCGAAAACACGATGGTTCAAGCGCCCCTAAGCTTTCCTCTCTCCAAAAACTGTACTAACTGTTGGTGGCATGAACTTTCCACCAGATTTCGCCTTCTTCCGTATTGCGATAGCCCCAACCTCTTTTTCAAAAATTTATCCGATCAATCAATCAATCAATTTATCTTACAAAAAGCCTTCTCGTCAAATTAGCCATAAGTCCCCATACTTTGGAGGAGAGCATTCAAAAAAGTGGATCTTCACGTTTCCTGATTGTTATGCGATATTTGAAATACGGTTGAGAGCACTGCTTCGTAAATTTTTTTTGGTTGATACTTTTTTGGAAAACAACAACAAACTGAAAAATGCAAATCACCCTTGCGAGTCACCGTGCACTCAACCGCAATCAAAAACCGCTAAGAGTCAGTTGAAGTTGAATGTGTGGTGAATCCTGGAAAGACTCAATGAGTACTCTATCATTTTTCTGCTGGATTACTTTCGTTCCGCGACTGCCGTCGTAGCAAGCTTTTCTCTAAGTACGCTTCACGTCTTCCAGGCTTCCAGTAAGGTGAATACTTTCTGTAATGGATGGGCACGCAAAAAGAGGGCGTGGCTGAGATGGAGGATGTGGTGTTGATTTTTTTCCTCCACTCCCTCCATCACTTCCCTGGCTTCCAGTTATCATTGCAACATCACGTGGAATGATCAGAAGGGGTTCAAAAGGTTTATTTTGTTGAAGTGTTACCGTTCACACCTAGAAACATTGGCACTGCAGAATTTGTATGATCCTTACTTTCTTTAATGGTGAGTTTGTTCTAGCGTTCGCTTTGGCGAATGTACGGGCACTTTGTGTACGGACATCTGCAAAGACATACAGGAGGAACCAAAAAAGAGAGTCTCCATGTTCGAAAAGGAATCACACTTCACCAAGCTCAAGCACTCAATTGAAGAGCATATTCCACTGAATAAAGGTAATATCCTTCTACGCCGACATTATCAGAAGACTCGCCCACGAGAAAAAGGTGCTGGAACGAAATCAACGATAGCTCCGAAACACTGGTCGGAAATTGTTGCACAGTCAGAGCAATTATCTCTGAATGTATCCCTAAGTTAATCGATCAAAGACGTATGTAGCAGCTTCAGAAATGGTGCGACAACCGTGCGCCCGCTTCAGCGCGACTGTGATGGCAAACGACGTCATATTGTGAGGACGGTGAGGGCAGTGAATGAGGACCACCTTCCGCTGATGGTGGAACACCTTAGTGATCTTTTTTCGTAAGAGTTTCATCAACTGCAGCACGCAGCTTGCGCGAAGAAAGCTGGTGATCTGCGCCATGGGTGAAGTGACTTCTTTCGACCCATGTACAGACGAACACCGGCTTTGCGAGTCATTAAATTTATGAAATACAAAATATTAGGTTGTCTTGTCGTCATGTCGCTTTTTTTCAACCAAAAATTTTCATCTAAATCCCCATGCTTTTACATCGTTTCATATACCATTCGAAAGAGAATTGTCTGCTCTACAAAATGCTATGTTCCACTTCCATCTGTTCCAGGTTTTCAAATTTTAGGCCTGCGAAATGGGAGGTCCAGCCGACAAAAATTGACCAAACCGACAACTATCTCTAACTTTATCTTCCCTTGGGAGAAATCAATCAATGATGTACCCTCTACTTATGCATGACCTCTTCTAAACATTACACTATTAGGTTTCCCAACAAGTCGCGTCATTCCATTTCCAGACCTGGTTTTTCAACCAGAACTCGACGGTCGAGCACCATTACCTGAGATCTAGGTCGAAATTTTTTTATAGCCGAGACATTGAAAAACTAGTAGAATTTGAAGAACAAGTAGTGACGCCTGGTTGATTTTCTCATCTTCTCAAGGATAATTTTTTTTTCAAAGAAATGCGGTCACTTTCGTGGATAAAGCACCTTATTCCTAAACACCTAAAATTCGAACTAATTCCCAACAAACATAAAAACAAACAAATGAGCGAATAGAGCAGAAGAAGTGCTCACAAAAGGAACACCACTCGATATGAAACAATGGCGTTTACGAGGAACAATTTTAATTTGAAAATTGCTATGGCTTATCGGTCAGCCAATTCGAAAAGAAACACGGCAAAGCTTTTTCGGCAACCTAAGGGTGGAATGTTCAGAAGAGGTCATGAGTAAGTAGAGGGTACATCATTGATTGATTTCTCCCAAGGGAAAATAAAGTTAGAGCTAGTTGTCGGTTTGGTCAATTTTTGTCGGCTGGACCTCCCATTTCGCAGGCCTAAAATTTGAAAACCCTGGAACAGAGGTGGAAGAGAACATAACATCTTGTAGAGCAGACAATTCTCTTTCGAATGGTATATGACCGATGTAAAAGCATGGGGATTTAGATGAAAATTTTTTGGTTGAAAAAAAGCGACACTATTTATGAGACAACCTAATCGTAACCTCACAAACTGCTTGTGGACGATCTTGCACCAATGAAAAAAAAAACGAAGTCGCAGCGAAAACGCGTACTGATAATGGTATGAAGGAAAGAAAAATTTATAGGTTTTAAGAAGCCCTGAGTCAATTAACGCCCAGTTCTCGAATTGAGGACATATGGTTAGGGAGGCTGAACCCCTCATTTCGGAGAAGGAGAAAAGGGTCGAGTGCAGATTACAAACTACAGTGCGTTGCAAAATCATAGGACACCCCCCAAAAATATGAATATCTCGGCTTCTAGAAAAAGCCGTCTATCGCAACTGGTAGAATCAGAACCGCCTCTATAAAAAACCTATACAAACAAGTAGCCAGATCATCCGAATAGTTTTCCGTATTTTTAGACAATTTTTTTAGTTTTGTAGTCGTTGCAAAATCATAGGACACCCCTCGGAAGTCTCCTTACAGTTGAATTTTTATCCATCCAGCAACGATGGTAGCACTTGTCCGGTGTATGGTAATTCTATTAGAGTTACGGTTTGAGTTGCTCCCTTTCCCTCCGCGAGTGAAAGCCAGACTTTCTTTTTATACGCGCCTGATGGCTCTACCATGAGCATCGAAGCCATTTTTAGGAGCTCAAAGAAAACCATAGCTTGGGGTGTCCTATGATTTTGCAATGCACTGTGCAAGTGACGATGGCCAAGAAAAAACAAACAAAAGAGCCACGTTTTCCTTGGCCGTCGTCTTTTGTGGTCTCTGGTCTGCTCTTGACTCTCTTCTCATTTTATGAAATAGTGGGTAATTGATGTTAATATGATGTTGTTA